ACGCATCAAGCAAATCCATTTTCCCAAACAAATTTCAACTGTTCCTAAAAGATTATCATTTCTACTTTAGTTTGATGTGTTTTTTAGCTAAAACAATTTATCACCATATGCAAAAAGATGCATTTTTTAAAGCATATTTTCAGACACATTTTTTATATCTATTACTTTCAAAATGCCTGAAACTTTGTCAGCTGTCAGCTAATACAGGTTAAGGTTAATACAGGTTAAGGTTGCCATGAAATATTAGAGCTCTAGGTATTTTTCCAGGATCAATATTTGCCGTTAAATTTGGGTCATATTATTAGGTGAAAATTAACGGAATKTGACAGTTTAAACTTTTCCTCGATTTTCTCTGAAACTAAGTCGTATTTCGCTAAACTAACTACATGGCATTTATTCTTACATTAGTGCCTACCTATGGTTTAAATTAGAGCTAAATCGATTTTTCGACCATTGCCGCGAATTAACGATTATCTTTGGTTTTCCCTGAATGCCCCTCATAAAAACTCTGTTTATTGGACGTTTCGGCACTTCGGCCTTCTTCAGCAAACTGAGTGTTTTGCACGCGCCACTCTCTCTCTATAAATCCTAGCAACTAAGCGACCAACCTATATATATATATTTTTTTTTTGTTGTTGTTGTTGTTCAGATTTATTTCTTGTGATTGCACAAGAAATGGCTAGAAGTCTTCAGCTTGCTCTTGAACTTCTTTCGCTACATTGCCCATATAGTAAAGTATGTTTTCTATCGAATTCAAAAAATGGTTGTTCAGCAAAAGGTTTAAAATTCTCGTAAATGCGAACTTCAATTCGTTCGCCTCCGTCGACTACATAATTTTTTCCTTTCTTGTCCGCTCTTGAGGTAGATCAATTCAACAAGGACCAATCAGGTGTCGTGTAATATGTGCGCACGTTGTGATTGGTTGTCTAAAAATAGATTATCGGGACATCTGATGGTGTCGATATTATTGGGGAGATGGACACTTCTGGTTATGTACTTCTGACACATGCCCTTTGTTGCACATGATGTTGTAAAATCATTACTAAATGAGTCTTTAAACCTTATTGATAACAAAATATAAAATGATTCGATTCTTCCAGCCTTGTCAAGATATCTTTTTACTGTTTATTTGTTTTTCGGGGGAAGGGGGTGGGGATAAGCCTAGATTTGTAGCTTAAGGTCAGATATATAAAAATACACCAAGTAAAATCAAGCCGCCAATGGCAACACAACTCGAAGATTGATTGTGCAGACGAATACAGAAAGATATAATGATGAATCAAATTATAATTACTTAACGAATAGAATTTTAAATAAACGATTTATGAATATAGTTTTATAATTTAACTTCGGTTCTGGATAAACACAAGCGAGCGCCGGTGAGATGAATACCACTCGAGCTACAACTATGAGTAAATGCTGCCACGACCAGAAGCGCTACATCTGGATCCGAAAAACAAATAAAATCACCGCAAGTGTCAAAAAACAATAACAACTAAATCCCTAAGAAAACTTGGAGTTCAATTATTAAGCAAACAATATAAATTTCAATGTTGGTGGGCGAAAAAAAATTGAGTTTGCCTAATAAAAATTATTCGCAAGGAAAACCAGAATACCAGAGCAAAGGTGAAGCAAATCGACGAATACTAGTGATCACATGATCACGTGGGCTTCCAACATAAAGAGCTTAAAGTTACATTATGGCTTCATTTCTCCACATTCATTACTGATGAAATTACCCAAAAACTACTAAGTTTGACTTTTGTTTTAGCCACAAATATGTAAAATTTGCGATCTTTGGGTAAATGCTGCCACGTGTAGTA